GTTACTGTATGTCTGGAAAACTGATTTGGTAAAGGATTAATGCAAACATATTTCCAAATAATGTATGGAAGTCGATAGATGATGTCGCTACTGACAAAGATGATCTTCCGTACAGTGTCAAACTAAACTAACCACTACTCTGGCATATATCATCATGACGAGGTTAAAGCGTTTTGCTATTCCAGAGGTCAACACATGAACAGTGTTGAAAGAAGAGCTGCCCTCCCATCCAAGCCTGTTATTTAGCTTTTAAATGCCATTTCAGGGAATATCGTTACAGACCACCTCAACCTTTTCACACAATCACTAGCTACGATAGCTGTAAGCCCAAGAGGAGCACAGTATGCATCCACAGACAAAGATATACTGTGCAATTGATACATTTGATTCCTGTGTAACTTGAGGCTAGATGCAAATATCAATTAAGCCATTCACTAATGCACTTGAGCAGACAATCAACAGTATTTTCCAAATTGCTGTATTATACAGGACATTACATTAACGGAATATGTTAAAAATGTGTGTGGTAAATGCACCTCTTTGAGTGAATAAGTACAGTAAAGCACAGGAAAAGGGAAAGTTCCAGTGTAACACCACTTATGTCTCTGTCATTTTCTCACTGAGGCATGCTAATAGCACTCTCAAGCAGTCTGAACACCAAATTAAGGGAGGTCACTCTGCCTCATCTCCTGCGCTGATGGCTGAGCATACAGAAAGGATGAGTCTGCGGACTGTGAAATACAGGAAGTGAGGGGACAGCAGGGTCAAGTCCTGGGAAGACGGCCCCACTTAAACACCATTAGGGAAAACTACAGTATCTAGAGACACCCAGAGACTGGTGTGGTTATGTCAGTCTGTTTGCTCTTGTACTTTTATCCTTTTAATTAATAAATGTCCTCATTATGATGGATCATCTAAAGTGACAGAACTTTACTGCTCCGCACTTCTTTCATTGACTAATTTTGGATTTGGCTCAATGTGTGTCTGCAGTATTTTGCACTGTCACCTGCACTGCACACATTATGTCCTGTGAACACCTACTTTCCTGTGTGACAACAGCACGAGTCTGCTTGCCTGGTTCCCACCTCCGGCCTCCTCCCCACCCTCCCCAGCCCTTCCTCACTCCTGTGCCAGTCCTAGGTGTTCATTCTGACTCAGGCAGTCTGCCAAACAGCCACATCCACAGAAAGCGTTGGTCCGCGGGCCTCAATTTTCACCCCAGCGTGTGGACCCCGCACCCAGCAGCACTTTTCAATTAAACAGACCGGAAGGTGAAGCCGGGTGTGATCCTAACAACCTTTGCGTCAAACTCCGGCTGTCGCTGTCACACTGTGCACACACAGGAGATTTCACTCAGTACCATATTTCCTCCTCTTTAATTCACCTCTTCTGCTTTTGTTCCTTTCTCTTTCTCCTTTTTTGAGGGAGAAATCATCTCCGCCAGTTCTCGACCCTTTCACCCCCAAAGGCAAAAGTAGGGTGGGGATGGGAGGAAAGCAGGAAAAGAAAACAAAAGTGTCAGGAACTCATTTTATTTGAAGGGGGAGTCAAGCAGAACATACTGTATGTTCACCACCTGCTAGCTGTGGATTCAGCCTCTGGCCAAGCTGCTCGATGCATGGTGTGTGTTTATGTGAAGCTAAAGCTGACAATATCACAGCATTGCATGGCTTACTGAGGCAAACAGTGAATGGAATTACCTCTGACTATTGATTAGCTAAAGGGGTGCTTAAATAAATACTTTACACACACACACACACACACACACAGCGGATAGTTCTGAATGACAGCCCAACACTACCAGGAAGATAAAGGCAAAGTGCCCTTACAATCAATATGATGGCACTATACCGGCTTAATAGCACCTTTCTCCTGTGTCATTTTGTGCTTTTCTTTGCTGTTGCCATGGTTATTATAATTCCTATAATTCATTCAATTGTACCTATCCCCCCAGAGAACCAAGACCTATTACTACTGTTTCAGAAGAAAGGCAGCAAGCTAGCTGTGACTGCTGGGAGTAGACGAGACGGTCCAGTTTATGATCAATACCTGGGTGAGCTGAGATAAGGCATCCATAGGACATCTACAGCTATTTTAAGTTTTTAACAGAAAATAGGAAGCCTAGAAATAAAAATCATAGGTTGGCAGAAATATGGAGTTTACAATTTCACTGTATTGACTTGCTGCCATCTGAAATAACTCACAATCAAAGTCCGATCTTAATTCTTGAACAACAAAAACATCCAATCCCATTTACCTCAGTGAGAAGAGCAGAGGAGCAGAGGGGAGGAACGGATTTGGTTAGGTCCTCAGCTTAAGATGTAAAATGCTTCAGAGTTTTGCTTGTAATCACTATTTGCTCTTAGGAAAAATGTACTGCTCACATCAGTGGAAACTGAGCATAACCTGATGGAGTGGTTGAGTGAGTGTGCCAATGTGCGCATGTGCATGCAGGTACAGTGTGAGCATGTCGTGCTGTATGTGCGCCCTACCATATCCCAAACTCTCCACATGTCTGGCCTTCATGATTCAGTAATTTAGCAGGTCTAGATACACTTCACATCGAGCTGTCAGTCAAGCCCTGCAGGCTGTGTGCTTCCTGACCTTGCCAAACCGATCTCAGCATCTGTCCTCTAACCACAACTGTCACATTCCACACACCAGGCAATATGTCTGAGCCCTTCTGAAATAACATATAGAAGAAGATAAAGAGTGGAAACAGCTATTGTCTGTCAAGCCTGCAGAATTTTACCATCCACACAGAAAAATACATTTTATAGTGTCGTACTAAGTGATGAGACGGTAAGAGGCAATTTTGTAAGATTATAGTCTTAAAATGTGTCCATGTCTTATTTATTGCCTTAACTCAAGCTAGAGTGGGTAAATGTAGCAGACAGATTTTTTTTTGTTAAATTTAGAAATGGAAAGAAAAAACAATCCACATGTTGGATGAGCATGAGTGAGTTAGATGTGTCAGGAATATTGATGCTGTTTGCTTTCAAAGTCAATTTTGTGACATTTGATCAAGGTTAACTAGATCTTAGCTCTGTGTTGTCAGTGAGAAGCAAGGTCATTGCCACTTGCTTGTGGGCAGAATATGGAGGACAGAGAGACAGTACTTTCTTCTTCAAATTCTTCTTCAAATATACCTACTGTGGTGCCTGCTTTGATTCATTCTAGGGACAAAACAAAATACCTCTTCTGCATTTTCGGTAAATTGAAAATTTGAAAGGAGAAAAGGAGGATCAGATATTCAGTAATTGCAAAAACAAAACATTTGACCAACGCTTGGAAGCAGACAAATTCCTGCTTCTATCGGGTGCTGCATTTTACCTCATGAATAAACTCAACTTTGACTGCATCAGAAATCCAAATAACAGAATTGTGTCAGTTTAAAAAGATGAAAACCTGTCACAGAATGTAGGCACAGGTTAATGAGGGCACCACTCAGAGACAGCCTCAAGACAGAGGAAAAAAAGGAACTGACATTTTCTTGCTGCAAGACAAGCTGAGTCAAAGATCTGAGACGCCGCCGAGATTCAGCTGTGATAACTTACTGCTTTAGCACCCACTCCACCCCCACCCGTAAAACTTTTCCACTTGGCTCATTTGACTCCCACTCCACAGGATGAGATGAGTGCTGGGTGCCCTTGAAGTTTCAGTGGAAAGAAACTTTTCCATCAGTGCGCCCACAGTTGCCGCTTATGATCACAGTGGCGTTCTGAAAAGCCTGCGTCGGAAAAGCCAGTGGAATAAATAAGCCAAACTGAGAGGAAAACCCATCCAATTTGAGAACATTTGATACAGGATGGAAGAGAAAGATGCGACGCAAGACTGAAAATGAAAAAGCGGGGGAGAGGGAGACAGAGGGAAAGAGAGTGTCAGGGGCAAGACCTATTGATCTGGAGGCTTAATTAACCATCAGAAGTCTCTGACACAGCCTCTGATCTTCTGTGATCAGTGGCAGAGTGGCACCACTCTGGGGGAGATGGTGGGGAGGGGATAGGAGAGAAACAGGAGTCGGAGAAGGGGGAGAGGGAGAAAGTGTAGATCATTGACAGATTACAAAGTCACTTCCTCCAAACAGAGGAGGTTCGGAAAGAGGAGAAAGAATGAGTGATAAGAAAATCATGAGAAGAAGGTTCATCAGAGGGGAGAAAAAATGGTTAAAGGAAGAATTGGGGAAAGAAAAATGGGGGAAATCTGTGTGTGTGT